GCTGGGAACGCAGCGTCGGAGAGAGGGATGCTGGGAACGCAGCGTCGGAGAGAGGGATGCTGGGAACGCAGCGTCGGAGAGAGGGATGCTGGGAATGCGGTATCTTAGGGAGGGATGCTGGGAACGCAGAGCGGAGCGTGGAAAGCTGCGCTGCTTGACCAACATGCTAACATGCTCCGGCCCAAAATAGTCTCCATGTTTGCAAGTCTGCCTTCCGTAGCAGCTGCACAAGCAATGCAAGGGGCACCTGCCACTTACTGAGCGTCTCCTCGCCGGGCGCCTCCTCGCCGGGCGCCTTCTGGGCGTGCCCTCGGTCCTCCTGACAGGCCTCCGGAGCTCAGCGTCAGGGCTTTGTTGCGGGCAGGGCCTGAGGCCAAGGCCAGGTCCTAAGAAAGGCCCAGTCAGCTTCCGGTCCAGGCCGCTGACCTCCACCCTGCCCCCGCCCCGCGCTGAGTCCCCACGTGCTGGGCGTGCGCGCCGCGTGCTCCGTGCCGGCGGGGCCCTGCCAGCGAGTGGGCACAGCTGAGGGTTCGTGGCATTTTGCAAACCAGCAGGCACCAGAATCTGGGCTTACATTCCATTGCCTTTCATTGGAAAATAAGTTGTACTGCTTTGGAAGCGCCACCAATTAGAACCTCAGGTGGTCTCACCCTTTGCTGGCATTTTTCAAAAGGTCCTGGGGCTTGGCACAGGGGCCGCCGGGCTCATGGCGGCGCAGGGGAGGTTGTCAGGGTTCACCGTTTCTGCACGTGCTCAGAGGTTAGAATAATCCTGTCCTCTGTGTAAATCTTCTTGTCAGGCGGAGAGGCAAAATAATTATCTTAGGTGGCGTTTTCCTTAATAGGCAAAGCAGAGGCTTACATATTTATGGCTGTTGGTTCAAAACCTTGAAATGAATGCACACTGTGGCGTCTCCTTACTGGGCACAGATGTGCTCAGGCGGATAATGTCACCAGCAAATGTGACTTTGGAGTGAAGGGATCCCACGGAGAGGCGCTGATCAGAAATCTCCCCTGAAGCCAACGGGCAGGGTCATCTTTGCTTTGACACAGAATTCTTCGGGGTCAGGGAGAGTCCTGGAGAAGACTGAACAAGTGCCTCCCCCAGATGTAACCCTCCATTGGAGAGTCGGTCACTTAAGGCGTGTGAGGTTGTGGCAGCTCGAGCATCTGCCGGCGGCCAACAACTAGACTCCTGAGTGGGCTGCTCGGCCCTGGGACAGAGAAGCAGCAGGGAGTGACCGCGGCCGCAGCGGCTCCTCCGCGTGGCTTCTGCTGCCGTCGGAGTGAAGCTGCTTTCATGTGCCTTTCAAATGCCCCCCTCGCAGCCCTGCTGGGCACAGGGCATGCGGCAATGTCACTCATGCTGTGGTGCCAGCCTGCCTGCGCTCCCGGCCCAGCCTCCGGTGGGGCACACGTTAATCGTGAGCGGGGGTCAAAGTGAGGGACTTGCCCGAGGCCACACAGCTGCTCACACAGCAAGGGAGGTGTGGACCCCAGAGCCCAGATACTCTGTGCATAAATTGCTCTGTCTCCAGAGAGGAGAAAGTCCGCTGAGTGGAGAGGCGTAAAAATGGCCGCTGAGGGATGACCCAGGCCATGTCTCTTAAGAGAAGAGGGGCTCTCCATCTGAACTGGACTCGGCCCGAGTCCCACTCAGGCCTGCTCGCCTCTCAGAGCTTGTATCCAGCGGGCAGGTCCGTGGAGGCCAGGAGTGAACCAGC